CCCATCCAGGCCAGCGGACGTGAAGATTGGAAGGTCACTTGTGGCAGGTCATCAAGTAATACCCATAACAGTGGCTAATTTCTCTAAATGTGAGTGGACACTTAAGGAAAGGGCATTGTTGGGTGTGTGCCAGGAGGTAGAACCAGTCAATATTAAGGCAAGAAATATAACCATAAAGAAATGACATCCTCTACCACAACATTTAACTGACCTCTATAAGAAGAGCATAGTCCATTTGGCATCATCACAGGCTCTTCAGATAAAAGAACTTTTGGCGAATTATACATACGTCTTTTCAAAAGGAGATCATAACCTCTGCTGCACAGACCTTGTGGAGCACAGAATAAACACAGACAATCACTGTCCAATAAAGATCCCTCCAAGGAGAATAGCTCTCTGGAAAAGCGACAAGAGATGGAGAAGGTCATGGATGGCCTAATTAAGGAATGGATAGTCGAGAAATCAGATAGTCCCTGGTCAGCTCCCGTCGTGTTAGTCCAGATGAAGGATGGGACCGACCGTTCCTGTGTGGACTTCATGGCTCTTAACAGTATAACTAAAAAGGACTCATACCCACTGCCAAGAATTTATGATACTCGCGATGCCCTAAGTGGAGCCAGGTGGAAAGAGAACTGGAAGGCCTACAATGGAGGATAGCCCTAGTGTACCTAGATGATGTCATAGTGTTTGCAACAAAGTTTGATGAGGAAATGTCCCAGCTAGAGGAAGTATTCAAGCATTTGAAAGCAGCAAACCTCAAACTCCATCCCAAGAAATGCCACTTGTTCCAGAAAGAGGTGCTTTACTTTGGTCACATTGTAAGTGAGCATGGTGTGTGAACTGATCCTCACAAGATGAAAGCAGTGCATGATTGGCCAACACCAGACAATGTGGGAGAGTTAAGAAGTTTTGGGACTCTATACCTATTACCGGAAGTTCATGAAGGACTTTGCAACTATAGTTGCTCCACTACATGATTTAACAAAAAAAGCCAGCCGTTCGAATGGACAGTTTCTTGCCATCATACTTTGAAGACATTGAATGAAAAATTGGCCTCAGCTTCACTTTTAAATCTTCCAATTCCATCACTGCCGTACATACTGGATTGTGATGCTAGTAATGTCGGAATTGGAGGAGTGTTGTCTCAGAAAGTGAGCGAAAACGAACATGTAGTGGCATACTTCATTAGGGTCCTGAGTAGACCAGAGAGGAACTACTGTATAACATGGAGGGAACTCCTTGCTATAGTAAAAAGTCTGACATATTTCCATTCTTACCTATGTGTAGCCAGGTTTACCATCAGGACAGATCATG